ATTCCGCCGTCTACAGTTTCATCCATTAGCTGAAGCTGCGTGCCTGGAATACCTCGGACAGTTCTTCGTTCTCGAACTGTTTAGCTGGCAACTCTTTCATTTGCTTTGACCTTACTGCATCGCTTTATGCGAACAATCAGTAATTCTGCGGCTTCGTTTATTAAAACAGCCCAACTAAAGACTGTAATTGGTTTCCAGCGTTTTTGATCGCAAAACGAAATTTTTTTCAACTAGTGGTTTAAAATGCCAAACATCAAGGAACTGGTGAGTTCATGAGCACCCAGACTACGAGCGACCAGTACGCATTGATACACATGGGGATCCATCGCGATATACTCGGACAGGTTGAGCGCATCACAATTATCATACTTTTCAAAGAGTAATCGGACCCTCTGTTTCACGTTCGAACGCGAATTGCTTATCACTGCAACACTGACCTTAATGTTGCAAGGCTAACTATAATAGAAGCACTTTTTTTTCCTGGTGGCATTTCCTCTGCCGGCTTTTTGTTTTCGAATTATGATTTTATCCGGTTCAGAGCGCAATCTTTGTTGCTTTTACAAAATTTTGATCTGCATATTATTTTCCTGATTTCAGAAAAAACACCGATTAGCAGAATGCTAAATCCTGCAGTTATTGTTGTTCTTGAAATGCTGATTACAGTATACGGCAACGATACGGTGAGCATTTGTTACAACTCAAGTTCAATTTTCGCTGCGATATAGAGCACGACGCAAAACGAATACTGTAGTTTTGCTTGCTCGGCGAAATTTTAGAATCAAATCAGTTGCATATTTCAAAAATTCTTATCATCAGTTCCTAAATGACTTAAATGAGTTTTAATTATTCTTTTCCTGCTACTGTTTCTGCTAATTTTGCACTAAATAGCAAGCAAATTTTCACTGTTTGAAAATAAGATAAGATTTACTTACTCCAAGAGACCGCAACAACAATCGGAAAGAGGTAAGTAACAAAACCATTGTATGACTTACAAAACGGATTATGCGTGTTTTACAGCAATTGAAATGCATCTAGAGTTGTGTTCAAAATGAATAACTGCCAGCATCCAAAGTGGTCAATGTATTTGCTCTTAAATAAAATTGAGAATTTGTCTACTGTGGCGCAACGAACAGGTTCTTTATCAAGCTTTTACAAATTCTTGGGCTTTTCAACTGATAAGCTGATAGCCTTATTCCAGGATGTCAACTCGGTGAATATGTTCGATCGCAACCTCGTAAAAATAAAATTAGAAGGAAACGCAGATGTCTCTACGGCGACAGGATTAAAAAATCAAGAACATTCGGAGATGGCAGTTATATCTGAAAAAATTCTTGATATCAAGAAGGAAAGTGAGGAACACTGCGAGCTGGAGGTTAAAACTGAGGCATCATCGGACATCGAGGAAGAAAATCCGGAACATTTGGAAATGAAATTTGAAATTGACCAGGAATACACGGAAATGCTCAATGTTAGTTACTATTATTCTTGTCGGAAACTGCTCTTGCTCTTTCACTGTGAGTGCTTG